GGGCAGCACGCACGGGGTGATCAGCACAGCCAGCCCTGCACAGCTCCCTGTCCCCACCCCGTCACACGGTGACATTTCCAACAAGCCGCTCTTATTAAGGTTGATGATGTCTCTGAGGCTCTTGGACAGCCCAGCAGCAGAGCCCATCCGTTTCAATTAAACTGGGATAAATGGGGGAGGGCTCCAAAGGGGAACGTTCGTCCTGGAGACAGGCAGAACGCGAGCTCCGTGTCACCCGCGGCGGTGACAACGTGCTGGGGTTGCTCTGTGTCACACAGGGTCACCGCTGGGGTCACCCGGGAGCTCTCAGTGGGGCAGAACCCCCGTGAGCGGCCGAGCGTGGCCGGGAATTGTGGAATTCTGCACGCCAGGCACACGGAGCAGAGCCGGGGCTCATCCATCTCCCACTCGCCTCCAAGCCCTCTGCCCATAAATCAGGGAGGCTGGGGAGGGGGGGAGCAGCAAGCTCAAATTACCCAGATGGATTTGCCAAATAAATACATTTGAACGAAACAATTAATAGATTTTTTTTTCCCTTTTTTTTTTTTCTGCTTTACAACCCTCGGAGGAAAGTGCAGAGGAAAAAATATATAAATGGAGCAAATTAAGCCAGTGCGTGGGCAGGAAGCTAAAGGGAGTCACTCTATCTCTGTCACCCCTGAGCCCGGTGTCACCAATGTCCCCCTGGCTGTTCCTGGTACCTGTCTGGGCCATGTAGACCCCGGGTTCATCCGCTGACCGCGGCCACTGGGTCTTCACCTTCTGGTTCTCCTCGACCGCATTGCCTGGGAGAGAGAAATGTTCGAATGAGAGAGGGCAGGGGACAGGGATGGGGACAGGGACAGGACAGGGATGGGGCAGGGATGGGGACAAGGATGGGGACAAGGATGGGGCAGAGATGGGGACAGGGATGGGGACAGGCCAGCGCAGGACATTTCAGGGGGATACAAGGATGCTGAGCACCCTGGCACCCCTGAGAGCAAGACCTGAATGAGCATCACTGAGCACACTCCCAGCCCCCCAAACCTGTGTCACAGCTACCCCAAAAGTGCCACAGGGGTGGCAGTCGGACCCCAGCTGGGGATGCCACGTCCCTGGCCCAGGCAGGGTGCCCATGTCCCCACCGTGCCAGGCTGAGGTGCTCCCCCGTCCCCACTTTTCAGCTCGCTGCAGTGAGGTGGCACGAATTTATGGCTCGGCTCACCAAAAATAACAAGTGATCCATCAAGAGCACTTGGCGTGAAATTAACTGGCATGTGCGGGGCTCGGCGGGGGACGCGGCTACAGGAGCGGGGGGACACCTCCCCCGGCCTCCCCCACACCTCCCCCGGGCCACCAGAGGGACTCTTGTCCCCAAATCTGTGCCCTGGAGTTCCCGTGGATTCACCCCTGCTGGATGTGACGTGGGGGACAGCGATGCCACCCCCCCCCCGCCCCCAGGCATGTCACCCCCAAAAATGCCGTGGTCACTGCACTGCTGTGACGGCCAGGAGAGCAGCCAGGGGTGGCACAGGAGCCTTGTTGAGCTGCCAGCCACACACAGCGATGTCCCCAAGGGGTGCAGGGGAGGTGGCATGGGGGACACCCGGCATTGGCTGGATGCTTCGGGCACATGGTGGCTCCCACTGGGACATGGAGTGGGGACAGCCAGCCCCAGGCAGGGAGCACAGCCTGCTCTGGCACTGATTGTGCTGTCAAAAAGCCCCGAATTTGCCGAGTTTTGCCTTAACTGGGGGTAACCCAACCCGCCGGCACCCTCAGGATCCTGTCCTTGGACATCCCACTCTGGAATGTGGGACATTCCACTCCATGGAATTCCCAGTGGCATGGGAGACACAGGGGGGACCCAGGGACACTGAGGGGGTACCCAAGGGGGTCTGTGGGGCCTGAATTCCCCACAGAGCCATCCCCCCCTCCCCGAGAGCAGCAGAATTACACACGGCACAGCAGGGGCCCGGGGAAAACCATAAATCCCGAGGATATATGAGGGCGTTCTCCCTGGCTGTGTTCGACAGAGACACCAAATTCAATTTCCTTCAGAGAGCACTAAATCCTCGGCTGTCACTGCCGGGAGGCTGCAGCCAACCCCAGCACCGCACCCCACCCTGCCCGAGGGTCCCCCAGCACCCACAGCTGCGGGGTGCAAGGATAGGAGGTGATTTTGGGGACATCAGGGTTGTTTCTTTGGGGACCTCGAGGTGAATCCCAAGGCCGGTGGTGTCCTTGTCCCAGCAGCACCTCGCTGGGGGTTGGTTTCTGAGCAGGGATGGGTTTGGGGTGAGGAAAATCCAAAACTGGAACTGCTTGGCCTCGACGCAGCAGGGTCACCCAGACACCATCAAAAAGAGGGGAGGGTCACCCTTTTGGGGGGTCTTTAGAGCATCTAAATCAAAACTTTAAACCCACCCCCTTCCCTGCGCCCGGGCGGGAACAAAGGCAGATGGAAGGGGCTGGAGCGGGCGGGCGAGCGTGCCAGGCTGTGCCCGCCGTGCTCCGGGTGACATCGCTGTCCCCAGGGACCACCAGCGGGGCTCGGGGAGGGGGAGGGTCCCTGGGTGGTCTCCAGCTGCCCCCAGGGACCCAGCAGCGCTGCCGGGATGCGGGCACGGCTGCCGGGGGGTTCATTCCGCGCGGAGCGAGGCGGTTTTGGAGGCGGCGGGGGCGATGCCAGCGCGGCCGTGCCCTGGCACCGCTGCCAGCCTGGGCTCCCCCGAGCTGGAGAACGCAGACGGTGACGCTGCAGGGCTCCAGGTCCCCGCTGCGCCGCCGGCTGGGGGTGATGGTGACCCCTCGTCGTGTCACCCGCCAGCTGGGGGTGACTGGGTGGCCCAGATGTTAAAAATCTCCTCGGCCCGGCTCGCGGCTGATCCTGGAGCAGCGGGGTCGAACACACTCAAAGTCACCCCACGAAACTCCAACCCATCCACGCTTTCCACCCACGTGCCTCCAGGCTGGATGCTCCTGGGGGAGCCTCCCCAGGGCGGGGATGACGCGGGCGAGGGGGACCCGGGGGTCACGGCGGTGGGGACGCTCTGGGAAGGTGCCAGCCCCACGTCGCTGCGGCGGAGGAGCCGCTGAGATCAGCGCTGGGCGCTCGCCAAGCCTCGGCTCACAGGCGCCATTCAGCCCCCCGGCCCTGCGTGCCACCATCGCCCTGAAAGGCGACCATTCTCCACCCCGGGGGGCCAGGGGGAGGCCAGGTGGGAGCTCGGGACCCCCCGCCCCCCCGGCTGCATGAAGGGCGCTCTGTGCTGTGGCCCCGCGGCTCGGCGCGGTGACACCCGGGGGGGGACGGTGGCAGCGGTGTGACACGAGGGGTGGCCCAGGCAGAGCGTCACCCCCGCGGCTCCGGCACCGCAATAACACTGAAACACTGAACCCCCGGGCGCTCCAGCCTTTAATTGAATGTCAAATGTAATTTGGAGAAGGAGCCGGAGTTTGCGCTGCAGCCGTCGCAGCCGGAGAGGCGGAATGTGGCACTGAGCGCTGCCAGCTCTGCAGGGACCCTCCCGGCCAGCGCCCTGTGCCAGGCTTGGTGGAAATAACCCCACTGAGCCAGCCCTGGGGATCTGCTGGGTCCCCTGGAGGAGCATCCTGCTTCTCCATCCCATCCTGAGAACCCTGGAGCAGCATCCTGCTTCTCCATCCTGTTTTGCATTCCCCTTCTCCATTCCATCCTCATCCCCGTTCTCCATCTCGTCCTGCATCCCACTTTTCCCATCCCATCCTGGATGCCCTGGAGCAGTATCCTGCTTCTCCATCCTGTCCTGGATGCTGTTTTTCCATCCCATCCTGAATCTCTCTTCTCCATCCCATCCTGCATCCCGCTTTTCCATCCCATCCTGGATCCCCTGGAGGAGCATCCCGCTTCTCCATCCCATCCTTCATTCTGCATTTCCATCCCATCCTGGATCCCATTTCTCCATCCCATCCTGCATCCCCCTTCTCCATCCCATTCTGGATCACCCTTTTCCTTCCCATCTCGGATCCTGCTTCTCTATCCCACCCCGGATCCCATTTTCCCCCAGACAGCTCCCAGCCACCATAGGTGCCACCCCTGGGGCACAGGGTCAGCCAGGCTGGCACCTGACCCTGGCGCTGAGCTCTTAATCACCCACAGGCAGTGGCGCTTAGAGGGGAAAAAAACCCCAAAAACGGGGGGAAAAAAAACATAAAATAAAATCAGCTCAAGCAGCTCCCCTCGGGATGAGGCGATTTAGAGCCCTGCAGCTGTAACGGACCGGGGATTTAGTGGGGGATCTGCCCGTAATGACATTTAGCTCCTGAAATAAAAGCTAAAGCCCAATGAAATTATCTCTACACCCCCGGGCCGGCCCCCGCCACCTAATCTGCCGGATAAAGACCCCGCGCAGCCCAGTCGGGGATTGCTCCTGCCCGCGCATCGCCCTGAGCCTGCTGAAGGCAACATCTGGCCAGATGTGTGCCAAAATCCCCGTATCACCTCGGCGGGCTTGGCACAGGCAGGGGCGGGCAGCACCAGGGCGAGGCGGATCCCGGTGCCGGCTGCTTTATCCTGAGCCCTTCCTACAATCCCGGAACGAGCAAACGGCCTCATTCCGCCTGGTTAATAGCCCGGCCGCCGTGTCGTGACATCCTGCCTGGAATAACAAGAGCCCGGGCTGCAGCAGTCAAGGGTAATTTGCCACGGGAAAGGGTCATTTTACCTGCAAATTGTTTTCCACGTCTCCACCAAGGCAGAGCGAGTTGGCTCCCGCTCCTGCCCCGTGCCAGGGAGGAGCTAGGCCAGGGAGCCACGTGGGATGTGCCAGAGCTGCCCTGGCATCAGCCCTGGCTGCTCTGGGGTCACCGTGGAGTTCCCAGGAATGGCTGAGCCATCCAGGCTGCAGCTCCACGGGTTTTAACTTTGTTCCGTGCTCGGTGTTCCATTGGAAACTCCCAGCAATGAGGAGCGTGCTCATGCAGGATTCATGCATCACATGGATTTCCTGCTCCATGCCCAGCGCCCAGTTGGCACCATCCCGGCCCACAAGTGGGCTCAGAGAAAATTCATGCATTCCATGGATTCCCTGCTCCATGTCCAGTTGGCACTTCCAGCCCCAGGATCCATCTATTCCATGCACTCCCTGCTCTATGTCCAGTGCCCCATTGGCGCTTCCAGCCCCGGGATCCATCCGTTAAATGATTCCCTGCTCCGTGCCCAGTTCCTAGTTAGCACTTCCAGCCTCAGGATCCATCCCATGGATTCCCTGCTCCGTGCCCGGTGCCCCATGGGCACCACCCTACCCTGGGATCCATCCACTGCACAATTCCCAGCTCCACGCACAATCCCCACCACCCCCATCCCCCATTCCCCATTCCACGCCCACCAGCAGCACCCAGGCACCTCCTGCACTGCACAGGGGGGTCCCCACTCACCGTGTGGCACCTCGGGCAGGTCGAGCTCGTTGGCATTCGCAGAATGCAGCTCGGTGGGGCAGCAGTCGGGGGCGGGGGGCTCCGGGGTGGGCACGGGCTGAGCCGGGGGCCGGGTTCCGTTTCGCCGCGGTACCGGAGGGGTCTCAGCCTGGCAGCTGCAGCCGGCGTGGGTGAAACCGCAGCGGCGAGCACCGGGAGCCTGCAGGCACTCCTCGAGCCAGCGGCACAGCACGCTGCAGGTGAACTGGCTGGAGTTGTTGTTGTTGATGAGCAGCACCTCCACGAAGCGAAATTCCAGCGCTTGCGGCTCCAACAGCCGCGGAGCCGCCTCGGGCTCGGCCGCCAGGCACAGCTGCACGAAGTTCTTGTCGAAATGCAGGAAGGTGAAAGGTCCCGCCCCCTCGCACAGCTCCAGCTCGGCTTCCTCGTCCTCCTCCTCCTCCTGCTGCTGCTGCTCCGGGTGCTGGCGAGTGGGAGCGGGGCTGGCCTCGCCCCGGGGGTCGCAGGTGTAGTTGGCCAGGTAGTGGTCGAGCGGCAGCACCATGGGCGAGAAGTGGGTGCAGACCTGCTCCTCGCGGTTGAAGCGGAGGTAGAGCGAGTACTTGGTGGGGTCGGGGTTCTCCAGGGTCCAGGAGCAGCCCGAGGAGATGGTGGGGAACAGGTCCTTGAGGGAGAAGGAGCCGTAGAGGACGCCGGAGGCCAGGGCGGAGCAGGCGCTGGGAGCCGGGTCGAAGCCCCGCGTGAGCCACAGGACAGACGATATCACAGCCAGTAAGAGGGGACCAGCAGCGGTCATCCTATGGCATTTGCCCTGCGGACAGACAGATGGACACGTGGACAGAGGTTTACCCGGAGGTTTGGTCGCTGTGGGGCTGAGCTGGGGGTCTGCAGCCTGCCCTGAGCCCGCCTGGTGTGGGAGCAGCGTCCCGGTTACCCCATGTCCCCTCCCGGTTCATGTCCCCGCCTGCTCCGTGCCACCCCGCAGGGTCACAGGACACTCCTCGCTGTGCCAATGAGTCCCCAGGTTGGGGACAGTGCAGCACAGAGCGAGGACTTCACCCCAAAACCACCAGAGCAGAGACCCAGCCCTGCAGATCCCCACTGCAGTGACCCCCCCCAACCCTCAGCCCCGAGCTGGCCAAGCACATCCTGGGCAAGGAGCCACCAAACAACTTCAGACAGGGCCACAAAAAGCCCTTGGAGCTGATTGTGGTGCCCTGGGGCACGGTGGGGACAGGCTGGCAGCTCGGGGGGCACGGTGACACCCCAGCAGCGTGGTGTCCCCACATCTGTCCTAAGAGCCGGGCACATGGTGAGCAGTCACTGCTCAGCACAGATTTCTCGGATACCTCTCTGGGAATGCAGAGCATCACCGTGAATGGCTTTTTAATATCTCATTAATAAAATAATGCACGCGCTGGCCTTATTAAGTGAGCCCGGAGCGCGGTTCTACAGAGGCCGAGGCCGCCTTGCACGTGTCAGCATCACTCAGCCTGTGACCGGGGCAGCGGTGGCAAGGGGACAGCCCTGGGGACAGCAGGGGACATTCAGGAGGTGGCCACAGGGCCAGACGCCATGGCAGAGGTTGATTCCAAAATCGCTGAGGTCGCCGCTCGCCTCCGCCCAGCCGTGTGCTGGGGATGCCGAGCGCTTGGCACGGAGCGGGGATTGCTCTTCTCCACCCCCAAACAACAAATCTCGCTCCCGAACCACCCCTGGCCGAGCTGGTGATGCTGGGGCATCCCCCGGCTCACGGGGAGGGACACGGAGCCTTGGCCGAGCCTGCGCTGGAGCCACTCCGGGGACATTAAAGAGCTAAAAATATCGCGATTCTCATGCAACAGGCTGGAGCTGGCTCCTGCCGCCCCGGCAGCACGGGGGGGAACTCGGTGCTGGCATTTTCCCCTCTCCGGGGCACGGGAGAGGGGGGCTGGGGTGGAGCCAACCGGAGAAGAACCGGGCTGGACCTCCCCGATGCAAGCAGGGGGATGTGGGGCAGGAGAAAACCCCATTTTCCGGGAGTAACTCCCAGCCGGAGACCCCAAGAAATGCAACAGGAGGGACCCAAAAGCACCGAATTCCAACAGCAGGCGGAGCGGGGAGCACCGCGGGCATCCCAAGGAGCTGGGGACCCCCAGAGAGTCGCAGCCCCCTTCCCTGCTCCGGGAGAGCCGGGAGTGGGGGAGGGAGGAGGAGGAGGAGGAGGAGGAGGAGGGAGAAGAGGAGGAGGGAGAGGAGGAGGTCAGGCAGGGACACGCTGCTGCTCTGCAGCGAGCTCCTGGGGCTCCCGCAGCCTGGCAGGGACACAAGATGGTGCTTGCTTCCCTCGGCCAGGAGCAGAGAGCAGGGAGGCTCCGGCATCCATCCATCCATCCATCCATCCATCCATCCATCCATCCATCCATCCATCCATCCATCCATCCCTCCCTCATCCATCCCTCCCTCCCGCTGGAAGGCTCGGGGCTGCACACAGCCGGGCAGCCCACGCCTCACCTCTCCAGGCACGCATGATCCAGATGTTCTGGGATATGGGGAGATTCCTCCCAGCCTCCAAAACCTGCCGGGGCTGCGGCTGCCCGGAGCTCTGCACGGCCCCGAGCCCCGGCCGGGGCTGAACCGAACCTGCCGGAGCTTACTCGGTACCAGCCCCGCTCCCTGCAGCGCTGGAGCCGCCGCTGCTGCTGCAGTGAAAATATTTCACCGAGCCGCGAGCCGGGCCGAGGAGATTTTTAACATCTGGGCCACCCAGTCACCCCCAGCTGGCGGGTGACACGACGAGGGGTCACCATCACCCCCAGCCGGCGGCGCAGCGGGGACCTGGAGCCCTGCAGCGTCACCGTCTGCGTTCTCCAGCTCGGGGGAGCCCAGGCTGGCAGCGGTGCCAGGGCACGGCCGCGCTGGCATCGCCCCCGCCGCCTCCAAAACCGCCTCGCTCCGCGCGGAATGAACCCCCCGGCAGCCGTGCCCGCATCCCGGCAGCGCTGCTGGGTCCCTGGGGGCAGCTGGAGACCACCCAGGGACCCTCCCCCTCCCCGAGCCCCGCTGGTGGTCCCTGGGGACAGCGATGTCACCCGGAGCACGGCGGGCACAGCCTGGCACGCTCGCCCGCCCGCTCCAGCCCCTTCCATCTGCCTTTGTTCCCGCCCGGGCGCAGGGAAGGGGGTGGGTTTAAAGCTTTAATTAAAGCTTTTAAAGAGCCATCACTGAGCTGGGGAAAGCGGCCGGGAGGGCGGAAGCGACAACCCGGGCTCCACGTCCTCGGAGCGCGGTTCCCTCTCCATCCCTGCTGGAATATTTCTCCGGGAAAAGCAGGATCCGGCCGGGGCTCATCTCTCCCTGGCCACGGCACGGCAGTGCTCCCGATGCACAAACAGGTTGTTTCTCTGAGGATGTTTTGCCTGGATTTTGGCTGGATCCCGGTCCAGCTCCATCATCCCGGCACGGCAGGAGCTCAGATCGTGACAGTCTCCAGCCAGGAAAAGCCAGGACAAGCAACCATTCCCCAAAAAAAAGTGATAAATGGACAGCACTAAACCCCTCGGCATCAATAATCTGAGAAACGATTAATGGCAGAGTAAAGGAGATTTGCGGGTGGAGGGATGTGGTTTTTAACCCAACTGTTCTTTTAACAGGCTGCAGAAAATAAAAAATCCATAGGAAAAAAAGACCTGATCCATGAAAATTCCTAACATGAGCATGGCTTAGGATAAAGGAATAAAAAGTAAGGAAGGGCTGAGGCGAACTGGGTGGTTGATTCACCCTGGAACAGCCTCGCTTCCCTGCCGAAAGGAGCAGGCTGTGAGGCACGGCCGTGAGGCTCCATCCCATGGGATCCCATCCCTGCCCAGCCGGAGGTGACAGCGACAAACACAGCGCCACAACGAGCAGTTCCCAGCACCCTCCAACCCCCAGGATCTTCCCCGGCTGCTCAAAAACATCCAAACCTGCTCCAAAACACCTCCATGGTTGTTTTGGACCCTCCAACCCCCAGGATCTTCCCTGGCTGCTCAAAGACATCCAAACCTGCTCCAAAACATCTCTATGGGGACCCACAGCACCCTCCAACCCCCAGGATCTTCCCTGGCTGTTCAAAGGCATCCAAATCTGCTCCAAAACACCTCCATGGGGACCCTCAGGGGCGTCCTGAGCCTTCCCGGCCCTTCCATCCACAGATCAGCCCCATTCCAGGGAAAAACTCCCTCTTCAATCCCAGCCTCCAGCCCCCAAAACGCGGATCCCTGCACACACGGACACCCAGCAGGGACAGCGATACCCCGGCTGCTTCCCCCCCTCTCTGGCTCGATTCCCCCGGTGTCCAGGACCACGTTTTCCCCTCCCTTCCACGATTCCACGTCTCCCTTCTCCCTCTGGCTCCCCGGCGTGCTGCCACGGCCTCTCCTGGAGCCGGCAGGCTGGCAGCGGTGCCGAGCTGTAATTAATGGTGCGGCTTTGCCAATCCCTGGCTCGGCCTCGCGAGCACTGGCAAGCACAGGGCTCTTTATTTATTTTACTTAACTGCTGTTGGTAAAACTCCACTCCAAAAGCAAGGCCGGGAGACAGCACAGAGAAATCTCCGTCGGGATTAGGGATTTGCTCTGCCAGGGAATGGCGTGTGCTGCCTCCCCCCCGGCCCTGCATGGCTGGGGGGGGGTCCCTGGAGGCAAAGCCCCCCTCCCTCGGCTGCAGGGGCTGCAGCAGCCACGGCCTCTTCCAAGGAGTTTCTTCCACATCCTTGGGATGTGAGTCCCTCTTTTCCATCAGCTCCATTCTGGGAGAATCAGGAAGGTTCAAAGGGGGGTTCTGAGCTCCAGCAGCAGGATCTGTGCTCATCCAAAAAAAAAAAGGGATTTTTTTTCTCATCCAGAGCCAGCCTCACCAGGAGCCTCCGAGGTGCTCCAGGGAGGAGAAGGGGCCTGGCTCCATCCTGCTCTTGGAGGACATCAAGAAGGAACAGACAGGAGCAGCGCAGGGGGGACACGATGGCCCTCGTGAGCGCCGAGCAGCCACAGAGCTTCTGACGTTTGGCAACCCAGCCAGGTGGCCCCGAGCCAGCCCCGTCCCCATTAGAGGACGGGCCCGTGGTAGGAAATGAGTTTGCAGGGCCTCAGTCCAAATTCCCGTGGAGAAACGTTGAGGCAGCCCAGGGCTGGAGCAGAGCTGGAGAATCATCTTCCTCCAGGCACGGGGAGGTGAGGAGTCCATCCTGCAGCCCCCATCCCATCCCCACGGGGATGCGGGGATTTGGCAGCAGTGGGGACACCCTGACTGCTGGAAGTGCCATCTATTCCCACAGCAGTGCCAGGGCAGAGCTCAACACCAGCCTTGAGCTGAAGCGCCCATCTCCAGCATGGTAGGGAGTGACTCCAGGCAGAAAATTCCACTGCCAAAGGTCCTTGGAGATGCTGAGAAGAACCAGAGGGAGCTGGGAAGAGCTGGCAGCGTGTCCCAGCCAGTGCTGGAGCCCCTCTGCCACGCGGCTCCTGGTCCGAGAGCAAGCGCCCGCTGTGCCAGCTCCGAGTCCATTTTCTCTCCAATTTGTAGGATCCTGGCTCCTCGGATCAAAGCAGGGGCTGGTGACAAGGCTTGACAAGGAACTGGGCAGGCCTGGCAGAGGAGCTGCTGCCAGGCACAGCGGGGCTGGCACATCCAGTGCCACCGTGCCACCGTGCCATCACCAAGGAACCCTGCTGGCAATGGGGAGCGGACCCTCCCTGCTGAGGGCGGCTGGAGAGCAGCCAGGTGACGCTGACGGTGACAGTGACAACAGCTGCGCCACCCCGCTCCTCCCCGCGTGAGCCCACGGAG